AACTACTTATATAATATAAGTAGATTTAAATATTTCTTTAAAATACCTACCAAATAAGGTTGATTGAGTGATTGATTCATTTCTTTATTATTAATTACATTGAAATGATCATCATCAATAAGTGAATTTTGTATAACTTCTGACAAGTCCACTGCTGTAAAGTATCCAACTATCTTATGATTGTATCTATTAAAAAGAGAAACAACGAAATGATGTACATTTTATACATGACATTCATTTGCTAACCTACACTTTATAGAATGACGTTCGTCAAGCAAGTACTAGAAATTAGGTTGTACTGAACAGTTGTTTTATAATACTACAAAACTTCACAGAGGAGAGTATTTACTGTCCAACCTTTAGGAACTAAATCATGTATCACAGCGTTTATCTAGGAGTGATCAGCATTATACAACTTAGTGAAATTTAAGACTCCTGTCTCGTCCAGTTTAGGATTCGCTAGCTGAATGCACTCGCATCCTAAAGCAGTTATTGACATCTGAACTTGAACCAATTATCTTTTTCTCTAAACATCAATGCTTTAATTATAGAATGTCTGAGTTTAGATTGTCACTTACTTATTGATTGATAATACTTTCTATGAAATACATGTACATACAACTGACGATTTCTGAAATAGTACACATAGACTCAGCTACTATTTGTAATTAGCTTTTACAAAACATTTTTCGCAATGACTTTATCGAAAAAATTCCGACAGGATTATTATATATCAACAAAGATTGAATAAAAATCAGTCTTAAATATCAACAACGGTATGATTAAAATATTCGCTACTAGTAGTATTAGACTCTTTGGTTGGTGATTTAAACTTCTGTCGATTTTTGACAAAGTGTGACGTGATTTCAGCATCATTAGTGAAGTTGCTCCAATGATCTGCATATCTAAACTCTATGGTTTACTAATTCTTGCTCAGCTTTCAGATATTCTAGTTCCTTTTGAAAACAGAATTATTTTTAGAATAAATAATGTTCAATTATAAAAATCAAAAAAATCGCACTATAATTTGATAGGCGAAGATGGATATTAGCTATCAGCAGAATCCAGGATGTGTGTTTCTTCTTATATGAGATTCGTCAGCTAATTGTACCTGCATGAGTCGATGTTTAGTTTTGAACTCGAACCCAGTACCGTTCACTTGAAACTCTATCGCGTTGTAAAAATCAGGTACTGAATCCTGATAGCCGTCTGGTTGTGCAATGGGATGAATTTTAAAATCACCTGATATCCGTCTTTGCTTATAAAGCTTGTGATTTAAGGCAATACTGGAACACTCCGCACAAGATGCACATATATCAACAAGAGACTAATCAATTACAGTCCTAAACGCTAATGGAAAAATACAAGCAAAAAATGTGAACATTCATTGTAATCTATCCCCCCCACACACACACACCAAAAAAGAGTTCATTCTCATTACCTTCTTTCATTTTTATTGTAGATTTTTCTTTTCAATGTAAATTTACATTTTTTTACATAAATAATGATGATTAAACTATTCAATATATTTACATTTTCTTTGAATATATAATAAACCAATAATGAATGTAAAAATGAAGTAAGTAGTGAAATTACACAACTGACAATCATAATGATAAATTCATTTCTGGTCAATCTATCTAAACTGAATCTCACAAGTCAGGATCGTTGATTCACACTACTGAAGAGTGAACGTATTAAGACGAGACGGTCATATAGTGATTCAAGATTTTCTGTGATGATTTAGTCAGTCCAAGGGATCAGTTCACAGTGTTACTGACTGTCAGCCTGTGGGTTATTGATAGATAAACATTTCATATAGTGAAAATTCCCATTTTGCCATTTAGTCAATAAAGAAGAAACAAATTGAGAGGAAAAATTTCTTTTCAATTAGTTTTTCATCATAACTCTACACTAATATACACAAGTATGATTTACACTTATGATATAATACTCATCAAGTGGATACGTTACGTAATAATAACAACATAATGACATTTAAATAAACATTGAATAATTGGATTATTAATATTCAAAGTTGCTACGTTGTGTAATGTAAGAAAAAGAGAAGGAACAGAATTTTGTAATGGATGGTCAATAGAATAGTAGTTACGTAAAAATCAAGAGATGAATGTTGAGAAGTTATAAAGTTCGAAAGCAACAGAAACAAAATTACAAAAATTTTTAACGAAGAAAAAATCCAAGTGGAAGAAGTATGAAAAATAGTTCTGATGAAGGAAATTTTGTACTGATGGCCAGGGCAGAGAAAGTGGTTGTACGAATCTCTTTTGAATGCGACGGTTAGGTTTGTTAACATGCATTGCGATGGCAAGCAAGATGACAAGCACAGAATTTTTGTTCAATATTAATTCATTCAATTAAAACACAACATCACTGTGTACATGTAAGAAAGCAAAGTGATACACATACACAATTACACACAAAAAATCATCTTTCTATAGAATTATCATCAGAATAAAACAATACTCATGGATGGGTTAAAGCTTGACACTTACACCGTTGGATGCCGACTGAGTGGTCTAATGGGTTAAGCGCCTGAAACGAGACTGATAGGTCTTGGGTTCGAACGTCACTTGGCGCAGGATTATGGATGCGCACTTCTGAGGAGTCGCATACTAAGAGGAAACGGCCGTCCAGTACTTCCACGTTTTCCATGGTGGTCTACCTTCAATTGACTCATGATTTCAACAAGTGGAATATTCATTTCCTTTGTATTAGATAAGCAAATAAAATGTCTCAAAATTGATGATATCATTAAATGTGTATTCTGCAAATGTAAACTGCAAACATACTGCTAGTATTGTGGTGGACCAGACAATGTCTAAACTTGAAAAGTATCAACAAAGTTATTAAACATCAATAGTAATATTAATATATACCATTTATCTGTTACAAATACAATAAAAATTGGGAATTTACTTAAGTTCACCAAATGGAAGCGTGTTCAGCTTTTGTCTAGTACAGTGAATTCACAATTATTAATGCTTGGTAATTCCAATCGTGTTGACGAACTCTTTAGTAGTGTAATCCAATGTAGGATATGGTATATTCCCACTCACATTCTATAAATGTAAGTAATATTTGATTTAGATTTCAGTTAACTCAATCAAGAACGAAATTAGAACGAGGGATGCGTATGTAGCAATGTAATTGTTGCCAAGCCACAGTATGTCACGCTATGCAGTTATACAACGAAAAGTGTGTTCGAAGTCATTCACTTAATCAGCACGTACAGTCATTTAATGACAAATGTACATACAGTGAGAAATTGACAAAATAAATAAAAATAACATTAAAAGCGTTTTATAAAATAGGCTTGTCAGGCCTATCTCCACATAGCTCCCTTCACAGGGTGTTCGGAGTTAACCCTGGTTATAATAACAACAAGGAAAGTGTAAGAATATTTTATACACTTGTATGCGAAGATAATATTTACAATAATCACCAACACAAAATTTGTAGATGCGTATCACATGTACGTTAGTAATTTACAGTGTGTTATTGTGTGAAAATATCAGTGATGTAGCATGGTATAAGAAACACAAATGTAGTGAGAATACTGTCATTTAAAGTCTTGATTTACTAACAATGATAATAATGTGCAGAGATGTTAATAAACCCATAAGAAAAAAAATGGAACTGCTGATTTTTTTTGTGTGTACAATGAATAAATACTTAAATAGAGTTTACTCGTTTATTATTGTAACAAATTTCTTTTTAAATGTGACAAAACGAATAATTGTGGAAAAATATGATTAATTATGTACACTGTGTGATGGAAAAAATATCGTACATTTTGTTGGAACAATCGGGTGAATATAATTATATAGTACATCGATAATTGTTTGTTTCGATTTTTTTATTCGGTGAAATGTACATAGCGTTTGGGTTTTTTTACAGTTCTGCCTGAACGCGTTAAGCAATTAGATTTGATACTCGGTTTTTCTTCCATGTCTGCTCTAGTGGTGGTTCCTTGAAGGGGTTGGTTCAGTGAAGTATTCTGTTCATTTTCGTGTTGTACTACTTATTTAACAGGCTTTATTCCATCGATAGCGATAGTTTCTTTTTTTCCACACTTGTTGATTATGAAGTGTTTGTTCGTTCTTTTGATTACTTGATATGGTCCTTCATAAGGTTGTTTATATGACTTTTCAACAGCATCAACTCAAACGAAGACAAACTTGCATGTTGCTGGGTTTCTGTCGAGTTGTATTCGATTGTTATGTTCACGAGGCGGTATGGCTTTGATTCGTTGCATGGTTTGCAGCAGCTGGCTAGCAAAATGACTTGGGTCCGTTGGTGTTAAAGTGTTTGGGTTCACTAGTTGGCCTGGTAATGTAAGGGTTGTACCATAAACTAGCTGGGCGGCTGTACAACCTATATCTTCCTTTATAGTTGAACGGATGCTCAGGAGTACAAGTGGTAATGCTTCACTCCATTTTGATGTATCATCCTGCGCCATCAGCGAGCTTTTTAGTTGGCGGTGAAACCGTTCGACCAAGCCATTAGCTGCTGAGTGGTAGGCTGTCGTTTTAATGTGATTTACGCCCAGAACTCTTGTGAATTCCTGAAATAATATAGACTGGAACTGGGGACCACGGTCGGTAGTGACGATGGAAAGTACTACGTAATTTGCTATCAAACGGTCGAAGAATACCCCGGCTATTGTTTATGCAGAAGTGTCAGTAATAGGGCATGCTATAGCCCATCTTGTGAATCTGTCGACTGCAGTGAGTATGTGTGTGAATGAATTAGATGGTGGCGGTGGACCGACTATGTCTGACTGCATATGTTGAAAACGTTTTTCTGGCAGGGGATACTTGCCAAGGGGACTGATCGTGTTCTTCTGAATTTTGCTGCATTGACATTGTAGACAGTTTCGAATCCATCGTTTTATATTTGAATTGATCTTTGGCCGCACAAAACGCTCAGTAATCAATTTGGTTGTGGCTCTGATTCATGGATGAGAAAGGTTATGCAGTTGACGAAATACTTGTCGACGACAGGCTCGAGGGGACGAAAAGGCGGTTGTTATCCGTTGAAACGTCGCATATTATAGGTATATTAGAAGATGGTTTAGGTACGTGTTTGAAGATCATGTTAGGCTTCTCCTGACAGCTTTTTATTTCTGAATCATCTACTTGCAATTTCGCGATTGTTTTCAAATCGATATCTTGCTTACGTATCAGATTATTTACATCCTTTCGTGATGAAGCGTCTCCAACGACATTGGTATGTCCTTTGAAATATTGGATATTTGTTGTAAATTGGGAAATGTAATCCGATTGTCGTGCTTCGCGAGGTGAATGTCGGTCGTACGATGTGTTGAATGAGTAACATAAAGGTTTGTGTTCCGTCATTATAGTGAATGTTCGACCTTGTAATAAGAAGTTGAAATGCTTGACAGCTAAGTGGATGGCTAGTAACTCTCAGCCGAAAGTACCATAGCATTCCTGAGTTGGTGACAGTCTTTTGGAGAAAAACACTATGGGAGTAGTCATGTTGTTTACCTGTTGTTGTAATACTGCCCCGACGGATTTTTGTGAGGCATCCGTACATGGGATCAAATGAGTTGTGGGGTCAGTATTAAAGTGTTGTAACATGGTGGCGTTGGCTATCAAGGACTTTGCTTTTTTGAATGCCATTTTGGCGTCAGGCGGTAGCTTGAATGTTTGATTCTCTTCCTTACTCGTACCTTTTTTGTCGACTTTCAGCGAATCGGTTAATGGATGTAATACTTCAGCACAACGTGGTAAGAATCGGCGATAGAAATTACACGTACCGAGGAAACGTCGTAATGACTTCGCAGAGGTTGGTTCGGGGTAGTTCGTGATAGCTTCAACCTTCTTCTGAAGTGGTTTGATACCTTGTTAGTCGAAGTAACGTCCCAAAAACTCTAAGGCTGGGACTGTTAATATGCATTTCGAAGGACTGATGACAACGCCATGTTTTTTAAAACGATCTAAAAGGATTTGGACATGTTGGATGTGCTCTTCTAAAGATGAGCTTGGCCTGGCGCTAATAAGGGGACCGGTGGTAATGATTTGGTTTCGCACCTGATGTAAGTAACATTCCTAATGATAATCTGGTTTCGTGATGCACTCGTATTCTGACAGAATGTCGTTAAAAACGTTGTTCGCACGTTTCACTATTCGCACACCATCGATTTAATAGTCGTTGGAAGGTGTACCATCTACCTATAAACATGTATTTGCGTCAAATAATCTCTTCTCGGTCATATCTACTATAAATTGTACGCACTGAGTAAATCGGCTGCGAGGATGGGTCGTTTGGCTTGAGAAACTACGAAAACCCATGTGAATCGTCTTCGGAGTACGAGGTCTAATATGAGTGATTGCTCTCCGTACGTTTCGAAGATTGATTCGTTAGCCACTATTAGAGGCAGCTTGGTGCTTGCTGTCTTCGGGAGAGATGAAGTGGCATAAGGGTGATTTCTGCTCTTGTATCGACTAAAACGTCCGAGCCGGATATGCGATCCCTGATGTGAAAGAGGCGGCTAACTTGTTGATCAGTAACAGACGCCGCCATTACTGTCTGGCCGGCTCGTCTTCCTGATGGTCTGGATTGTTTGTCGTAAAGTTGCAAAGTTTTGTGCAACAAAGTGCTTTTTCTCCATAATTCGAGTGATACCAACAAATGCCAGCTGCCCGTTTGGGTGACCTAAGACGTTGTCTGGACACTGACCTTCATTTGGACGTAGATCTAGCAGATCGATAATGAATCATTGCAATAGTCACCTGAAGTGATGCTAACTGCCGTGTTAAGTGTGTTATCTGTTGCTGAATGTTGAGTGCATCACTCATATCTTCTCTACAGGAGGATTGTACCGCGGTAATTGCGTGACTATCGGGATATATTTCCATCATCTTATCAGCCATATCAGCTAAATCGTCAAGAGTGACAGAGGTTCCTGAAATTTTGAGAATTTGTTTAATATTATGTGATAAGTTTTAAAACCACATTTGCTTAGTCAGTCAGTAACAACGTAGAACTTCGTACGTACGTACGTCAGTTCGAGTTGCCACACCACCTCAACACAGAGATGCAGTTGTCGATCCAAATCCCGTAGTGGTAGAGGTAGCAAGAGTGTAAGCAGTGATCGGGAAAATTAGGGTTTGGAGATGTTATTTAAAGAGTATAATTCAGTGAAATAAATCTGGAAAGAGGAAAAAAGTGACATGAAGAATTCAGAAGATTAGAATTTGGGAGAACACAAAGAGTGGATGCACCTGCGCCATTGCAAACGATTTCGAGCCATGTCATTCAAGGTCTCTAACCATCGGTTGCTATCATCTCGCGGTCCCCAACCAGGTAGTGTGCACCTATCAACATGACTCAGACCACTTGTCAGTGACTTCATGGACTTGAGCCATGTTTTGTTCTGGCCGCCCCTAGCTTTCTTCCAACCTATTCCTATACCACTGAACATCGCACGTCGGGGCATTCGGTGGTTGGTCGTACATAACACGTGTCCCAGCCATCTCAGCTGATGAAGTTTCACTACTTCATCAATTGATTCGCCATCCTTACCTAGTACCCGTTTCCTAACAACTGCATTACTTACTCGATGGTCCCATGATATACGAGCAATGTTTCGAAGACACCTATGATCGAATACTAGTAACCTACGAATATCTTCTACTCTTACCGGCCATGTTTCACTGCCATAAAGTAGGACGGGACGTACTGCTGCGCAGTAAACCCGTCCTTTGGTTGATAGACGGATATCTCGCCCACGCCATAAATGACGCAAGTTGGCAAAAGCTAGTCGAGCCTTCTGTATCCGTGCTGAGATTTCGTCACACACCAGACCACAAGGGCTGATGAGACTTCCAAGATAAGTGAAGCGGTCGACACACTCAACTACTTCACTCCCTATCACTAGTTTGGGTGTCGATGTAACCCAATCCTGAAGCAACATTTTGCATTTCGAGGGAGAGAATCGCATCCCGAACACGCTCGCATTGTTGCTTAGAGTGGTCAGAAGGCTCTGCATTTTGTCAGCGTCTTCACCAAATAAAACTATGTCATCAGCATATTCTAAGTCAACAAGTGAACCTCCCGGTAGAAGTTCAACCCCTGGAAATTTAGATGAGGAGAGTGTTATCTCTAAAAGTACGTCGACCACAAAGTTGAACAAGAATGGAGAGAGTGGACAGCCCTGACGAACACCACTTGATGTAATCAATTCTGATGACAGTTCGCCATAAGCTCTCACTGTACCAGTTGTGTTCGAGTAGAGAGCCTGAATAAGTTTAATGTACTTCTTTGGTACTCCTTTCAGTGACAAACACTGCCATAGAACCTTACGATCAACAGAGTCGAATGCCGCCTTAAGGTCGAGAAATACTACCATTGTGGGGCGTCTAAACGTGTATCTGTGTTCTAGAACCTGATGTAGTGTGAATATCTGGTCTATACAACCTAGTCCAGGTCGAAAATCGGCCTGGTTTTCTCTAATCTGCACTTCACGAGCTTTGATTAGGCGTCGAAGTATTATTGAGGCTAATATTTTAGACACTATATTAGTCAAACTGATTCCTCTATGATTGTCACAAGAGGACTTTTGTCCTTTCTTATAGACTGGCACAATCAGTGATTGAGACCAGTCAGATGGGATTACGTCCAGTTCCCAAATTCTACCTAAGACCTCAGTTAATCTCATTGCTAATACTGGACCACCATCCTTAAAAGTCTCAGGAGTAAACCTGTCAGGGCCTGCTGCTCTCCCTCGTTTCAGATTTCCTATGGCTTTTTCCAATTCATAAAGAGACGGAGGACCTACATTAACTTGCCATTCAGGTTGACTGGGGATCGTGGAAAACCGAAGTGTGGCTGAAGGCCAGTTGAACTGATCCCTGAAGTGTTCTGCCCATCGATCCAATCTCCTGGATTGGGAATGAATAATATGTCCATCTTTCTCTGGGATTGTTTCGCTAACGGTCGGGTTCCTAATTCCGGTTTCCTTAACGAGTCTAAACAATTGTCTGCTATTACCTATTGCCGTTGCCTTTTTTCATCTCTCTTGCTTTCGCTACCCACCACTGTTCGCGATCATTGCGTAGACTTCTTGTCAGTTTGCGCTTAAGCTGACTCCGCTCTTCACTATGTTCAGAGCCAGGTGGAATGAGTTTCCGAGCATCGATCAGTGCGATAGATGCTGCTGAGATCCAGTGTTGCTCCCTAACCTTCAGGTTTATCTTACTAGCAGATATCACTGCTGTTTCCACAGTTTTACGGATATCATTCCATGCTGCATCGGGGTGGGCATCACATACATGGCTGCCTAACTGTTTTCCTAGTTGTTCCTGAAATATACATTTAGCTTGACTATCATTAAGTAGGCCCATAAGAGGTTTCCTTGCAGCGTCTTTCCTACGTCCAGTAAGATGCAAGCAAATACGCGCTCGCACTAGAGCATGATCTGAATCTAAGCATGTGCTACAGAATGAGCGACAGTCTTCTATCGAGCCCCTCCATCGATGGCTGATAGCGATGTGATCTATTTTGGTCCAACGTTAGGACGAATTAGGGGGTCGCCATGGTAAAAGATATTTTTCCTTATGCTTAAAGTTAGTATTTGCAAGGAACAGGCGATTATCTGAGCATAGCTGCAACAGACGGTCGCCATTATCTGTTCTTTGAGCCACGACACCATAAGATCCACCTAAGTGTCTTTCCCTATCGCTTAGTTTACCTACTTGAGCATTAAAGTCACCGGCCACGATTACTACATCATAGCGCCTAGCATTTTGGAGAAGGCCGGAAACCTTTCTGTAAAACTCATCTTTTATATCATCTGAGCTGCAGTCAAAGGGAGAATAGGCAGAAACGACGGAGAGGCAACGACGGGTGTCCCTATCTTTCCGGATTCTTACTGTTCCATTCAGTCGGACAGCGCACAAACGGCTGTCTACTGGGATCCACTCCAAGGGAGCTAGTTCTGCTCTGGGACTTGATGTTGTACCTACGCCGGCGAAGCCAAGAGAAGCAGAATCAGGTCTTCCAGATACACGAAGCGTAAATCCAGTCGGTTCTTTATTTTGGCATGTTGAGGTAAGATGAATGACGCTACTTGGATCCTGTATGCGCGTTTCGGAGACGCAGCACACATCGATGGCGCGTGATTCTAAAGTCCTAGCTAAGGAAGCCTGCTGTCCCATTTGGCACAGTGTTCGTACGTTAAAAGCTCCAATGTGTAGTTTAGAGCGTGGTTTCAGGAGACCAGGAATCGAGTTCCACGTACTCGAATCATTTGCCTTAGCGGTGCAAGGTGATAAACAGATGTGAGGAGGGTTAGTCATGGAGATAAGAGAGGTATTAGGAGGTGTAGGAAGGA